ACTTTCGCGATGACCATAACAAAGAGAGGTCCATTTAAGGAAGATGGGAGAAAATCAAACGCTAAAACTATAGGGTGTCTACAGAACACGGAACTTAAATGGCGCCGGAAGAATTATGCAGAAGAATGAATGCGTAGAGTAAAAGTATTTATTAACTATATCTAAAAACCACGGTCGGTGAAAATACAGCAGACTACTTATTGTAAAGTAAAGCCAGACACCCAAATCAATACTATATATCCCAGATGAATGTTGTATTGTTGATAACGCATTACAATGTTTTGAAATATTTTCACATTGGTTCCGCCGTGGCTCGAGTCGCACCCCATGGCCACCTACTTCTTTTTCTTTTCTTTCGGTTTACATTTTAGTTGTCGCCTATTTGATTTACAAATTAAACAAACACAGTAAACAGAGCAATTAATCCCAACAAGCCTTGGTCATAGTTCCTCTCACTAAGTTCTTATATAGGTAACCATTATATTCATTTATAAAACTTAGTCAGTTCGTTAGCAACCTCACTAATCGATGGCCTTTTTGAGGCATCCACTGCAGTAGTGCTAGTGATTAGTTTCCAAAACGTTGGAAGAAATCTCCTCCCGCGAACGGCTGCTTCAAGCATTTTGCCAAAAGGAAACATGTCACTTTGCGTACTTTCCTTTTTGCCCGGAAACTCTAAACTAACTCCTAAAGGCCTTGGCTTGCAGAAAAATGGACACAGGTAAAACGATCGCACGCTCGGTTTCCAGCTTTTAGGCTGAAATATAGCCCCACCTCATTTTAAGACTAAAACACTAGCCGAGACCACCTTACCCTCATCGTGCTTTTGACCAACTTTGGCTCTATTTCCCGGAACTTGAAGCATATTTTCCAGTCCCTAAGACTCTAAACTATATCCTGATGGCCTTGGTTTGCAGAGAAATGGACACAGGTAAAACAATGGCACGCTCGGTTTCCAGCTTCTAGGCCGAAATATAGCCCCCACTTCATTTTAATATTGAAAAAGTAGCCAAGACCGCCTTACGCGCGTCGTGATTTTGACCAACTTTGCCTCGATTTCCCGGAACTTAGGGGATATTTTCCAGTCCCGGGGACTCTAAACTAACTCCTGGTGGCCTTGGTTTGCA